ATATATATACATGTATATATAATATATATATTACTTTAAAAACATATATGTATATATATATATATATACACACACACACACATACATACACACAATGTTTGCCTTTATAAACAATAAAGGAAGATTTTCATTTTGCTTTAATTTTTGTCATTGTTATTTCCCAATCTGTCTTGGTGTTGTCATTTATAACGAATGACCCTTTAATAGTCAGCTCTTTCTTTGGTGAATTGTAAGAATCCATGACTAAAATTCAGTGAATTTTCTGCTCATATAATTTGAATTGACTTGTGTGTTCTTTTTTATGAAAAACAAGGGTAATAATGACTTTAATTACTAAAGTAAGTGATTATATATTATTTAACATATGACATCATTTGTGGAAATAATTGTGTAATTTTAGTATTTTCTACATATTTCCTCAAAAAATTCAGTTATGTATTTATAAGAAATTTTAAAGAAAAAATAATTTTGATGTTTAAGTGTACATAATAAATGTGTTTATATAAATGCCATTTGTCTCCTCTTGGAAAAGAAAATATTTTACAAATGATATTATCCTAACAAATATTCTTTGGCTTAGGTTTCATTCCCAGAGCCAAACTCAGAAGTTAAAGAAATATTTTAATTAGAGACATGAATGAAATTTTTGGATTTTTTAATATAATAAAAATAAAGACATAGTAAGTTGATTTGAGTTTGTTCCAATGGAAAATACAGATCAATTTGTGTACTACTGTAAGCCATCCAGATACTTAAGACCAATATCCAAACAATGTCACTTAGAAAACCAAGTACACTTATACAGACATAATACTAAAATACATATCGTACATTAAAAGGATATGTCATATGTATGCACACATATGTAAATGTTCACACACTGTATGCACATAAAGAACTAAACATCAATTGGGTAACAACAGTTGCCAAGCAATCCTTCAGATGATGCGATTTGGAACCAAGTCTTCTGAGTGTAATTCCTGAATCTAACACCTGTTTTGACCTAGAAAACTGGACAAACATAATATTTACCTTACTGAGTTTACATAAACATTAAATAAATTATTCCTTATGAAATTTTCTTAGAACCACAATTGGCCCTCAGTGTTAGCTGAATCTCTGCAATTGTTACTCAGTAATTACATCTAAGGGATATATTTACTTTAAAAAAAAAGCAGAAACAGAACACAGTACCAAAACTATGATTTTTAGATATGAATTTGTACAGCTAGGTAGAAAATAATCTTAAAATGATACTAAAATATACACCTTGACTATTCAGTAATTTCATTATACTATAACTCCTTTAATTAAAAATTGGCCTGTATAAATTTTCTATTATTATATCGCAGTATTATATAACATACTATGATACTTTGGAAATAACGTTGGCAAACATTACAAACATGAGCAATTTTATATGAGGAGACTTTTTATGTCATAGTAGGATGCAGATTATAAAACATCATTGCAATGAATTAAATGATAGCTGAGGATATATAGCCTTCAGCGGTGTTCAATATTTATATATACATAAAATCTGTTACCATTTTCTCTTGCATATCAACTTGTATGAGTCATTTGGTTTACCCTGATGAATTTGGCTGAGTGATGAATTTATATTTCAATGGTAAGATTCAGTTACTATTCACGTTCTCAAAGACAATCTAAAATTTATGAAATATTTCCTTTGACAAAGACACTAAATTTACGTGACATTAAATTTTTGTCAGTTTTAATTTGTACTTTTAGTGTCACCTGGATTAGGGGTCAATATCTTCAACTAATTACCTTTTCTCCTCCAAAACTCAGAAATGTATTGTAACCAGGATTGCTTCAAAGAGTAGTAATTCTGGTAATTCAGCAGAAGGATAGAAGCAGACAGTTAAACAGAGAGCGGGGAGGGCGAGGGGGGAGAGGGAGAGAAAACGAGGTTCTGTTATGATTTTGGAGGCTAAAAATTTAAGATGAAGATGCTGGTAGATTGGTTGCCTGGGGAAGAGCCACTTTTTTGCCCCATAGATGGGCATCTTTCTCATAAGGTGAAAGAGGCAAAGGAGATCTGTGGTGTATCTTTTATAATGCATGATGCCTGTGTTCTCATGACCTTACCACTTCCTAATGCCATCCCAGTGGGTATTAGGTTTTAACCCAAGAATTTTAAAAGACGCACTGAGTGTATAATGCCCTAAATACCACCTAGTGTCTATTTACATGACCATGACATATACATTTAAAGTTCAGTACAGGCAATGAAACATTACAAAATGTATTCTCACCACGCTATTTTTTGTTAATTCATTTTAACAAATACAATTTATTAATTCTTTTGAAAAGTAAATATACTTTTCCTCAGATAATTACCATGTGAAAGACAAGTTATATTTATTGAATTCTTACTTATATATTAAATCCTGGCTCAGTATTTATTCAAGAGTGACACACACAATGTAAATGAGAGATGTTTCACCTCTTAAATTTGTAGGTTATTAAAATAATGTATAATGTTAAACTTGTTTGGCTTTGTGTTAAATTAGAAATATTTTATGTAAGTTGGTAACAACAAAAGGGAAAATCCAGGTAGTGGCAAGGTTGGTCACACACCCACACACACACACACACACACACACACACACACACACACACATATATACACACACACACACACCCACACCCACACACAGCATTATTAAGGGATAAGTATCCCTTATGAGATAAGAATGAGTGATGAGTCAGCTATCTGAAGATTGATAGGGATAATGCTTCAGGCAGAGAATAAAAGCAAGGGGAGGAAATAAATTTGGGTTCCCTGAAAAACAGAGCAGATACTGCAACTTCAGAAGAGGCAGTAGAGGGTCAGACAGCATAAGATGTGAAAATAATGTGGAAATGAAGCAATGCCTAGTCTTTAATCTATGGCAGAGCACTTAATTTTGAGTGAATTAAGAAGTAATTAAGAAGTAAATGATTTCAAGCAAAATGCATTATGTTGTACAATATTCATTGTGTCACTGTGGGAAAAATATGTCAACATATTTTTGTAACATTTTGTAAACGTTTTAAAGATTAAATCTGATGTAATAATTAGTATGTCTTTAAAATGAGGCAGAAAAGAAATGAAATAGATTTCAGTGTGTGTTGTAGAGGAAGACATGGAAAGAAGTAAAGAGATAAAGTATACATTTTTGAGGTTAAAACTCAATATATTCAATATAAGATTTGAGGAAAGAAAAGTATCTAAATGAAGAAAAAAAAAGGGCAAGTACTCCAGTTTGATCCCTGATGCCTAAATAAATAAATGAATAAATAAATAAATGGAGAAAAACAAATTTGGAGCCAGACAGAAAAACAATAAAGTGAAAAACACATGGAAAATGAGAGAATAGCCTCTCATAAATTTAATAGCCTTTCTTGCAGTCGGCAGAAATGAAGAAATTATTTGACTTTACCTAATAAATTGGTAAATTAAGGAATCATAAAATAATATTTATATAACAGGATTATGTACATTTCATTTTTATAATATAAGTAGCTTGATTAAAGCACTAAAAGAGAAGATAATAAATGTTAGTCTCGCATACATTGTAATGTCAGTACACAGCTGCTAAGTATTCTGCCTAGAATTCAGCAGTGGGTGAACCTGGTAAATCTGTTGATTTGCCCCATTAATTTATTGGGGTGAACATTACTTGAAGAAGTTAATAATTTATTGTATCATCTTTCTATTTGTTGGAGTGAATTTGCTTTTTTCTCTACCCTAATACCAGCCCACCAGTTAAAGGAAGGTGTTAAGTAAGCATCATCATTAGAGTATGAGGTCACAGGACATAACATGTGTTTCACTCACCATATGGCTTCTTACTGAACTGGAGAATCACAGAAGACCACCTTGATCCTGGAGAGCACAATTGAGCATGTCTCATTAGATATTTGGCATAGAGTCCCCTAAAATTGACCAGTGTTAATCAAACTGTCAAAACACAGTTTTGAACACCACAATCTCAAACGTTGAAATATCACAAAATCAAAATCCTTAAAGTCAATCCATCTCTAAAGACCAAAAAGCAAAAATAACAATGTATAAAAATTAAAACTAAATTTTGAAATTCTGAAGCCCATATCCAAAAATCCATGACTCATATTTTTTTAGAGACTACAAAAGAGGTAGAAAATTAAAATCTGGGTCGGAGATTATCATATTTTTCTGTTGCACAGAGTAGTTGCCAAATCATTAAATTGTGTACTACTCCTCACAAAACTTCACATTTGCCTTCAAAAATGTCCTCCACCAGAGAAATATTTTGACAAGCTCAGTGATCTTCTGAACCAAAGCCACTTGACAAGGTAGAGATTGCTGCAGTGTTACAATACACATTAAGTGATGAACACCTCACATGGAAAAACTAACACATACTTCACTTTGAGTAATGAATGAAACTTTCTAAATTACCTGTCTTCTTTTATAATAAAATATAAACAATTTACACTACTGCTGGATTAAAAAATATCTGCTTTTTATGTATTAATGACTAGAGAAAGTGAAGCACTACTTTATAAATATTTGTTGGAAGATTTGATATATACTGCAGAGGAAAATAGTATAAACTCAAAGACTGCAGTCTAAAGAATAAGGGATTGTAGACATAAATTTTAAGAATGATCTCATGTTGAATGTTCTTACTAGAACAAAATAAAATTTAAAAACAAATTCATAATTGAAAACATACTCCTGAAAATAAATATACAATGCAAAATTTTATGAGCATAGTTATCTAAATATATTAAGCAATGGCAATCCCATACAAACTCTTCCATAGCCTAAGAAAAGGACAACATGGAATAATTCATTGTAGACAGGTACCATAATCTTGATACTACACTTTAATCAAACAGGGAAAATATACATGCCAATCTGACCTATAGAAATATTATACTCTAAAATTTATAATCCAAGTTTATTACAATTACATTCATAATTTATTAAAATGTGCAACTATAGCAGGAGAAATTAGAGTTGGTTTTGGGAGTTTAAGACTGGTATTTTAAAAGACAATGCACTTTCCCATATTCCCATGATGTAAATAGGCTTTCTCAAGAGCAGAAACATCATTGATTGGATCCAAATCCATTAACAAAGATTCCTTACCTAGTTTAGTACCATCATTGTGAATCCATTAACAAGGATTCCTTACCTAGTTTAGTACCATCATTGTTGTGATATATAATATCCTCTTAAGCCTTTACAGAATATCTTACTAAACAGCAAAATGTTGGAATCATATCCTTTGAAATCAAGATTAAAAAAAAGAACAATGACTACCAATAACACTTTTACTAATAATGTACACATGAGAAAAAATTAGAAGGTATAAAGCATAGCAAAGGAGTAATATAATCTCTCATTATTTAAAAAGAAGATAAACATTTAGGAAATGTTATATTTGAACAGAATATTTTAAAAATTATACCCATACAAGAAAAATAATAGAAATAAATTTGTGAAATCATTCATGATAGCAGAAAATGTATCACTATCTTTGAACAAGTCTAAAGAAATTTGTACAAAACCCAATTAGAAAAGACAGTGTTCACAGAAATTGAACACTTCTAAATAATAAGGAGTTTCATCATGTTTTTTATCTTTATTATGTTTATTGGTACAATTTAGGAATACTACGTAGTTACATTCATCCTTGGTATCTTGTATCTTTAAAAGACCTATCTTGGTTCTTATTTTTCCCCACTCCCCAGAACTCCTTTCACCCCCTCCACCCTTGCTGTTTACAAAGATATTGTTTCCATGATTTTCCTTTTCTCGTATTGTCTTTCCTTTTTACCTTTCCCGTACCCTTCCCACCTCCTCTACTCTTTTAGACCTTTTCTTTCTATTACACAGCATTAATCATACATTTTGCTCCTTATTTACATTTTTAGTTTTTCACATAAGAAACTATTCAGTGTTTATACATGTGCGTCTTATTAATTTCATTTAAGAGTATGGCATCAGTGTGCATCCACTTAGCCATAAATAGCTCTAGTTTCTCATTCTTTATGGCTGAGTAGTGCTCCATTTTATTAAATAAAACAAACAAACAAACAAAGAAAACCCACATCTTCTTTACCCAGTCTCCAGTTGATGGGCAATTGGGCTGTCTCTAAATGTTAGCTATTACAAACTGTGCTGCTGTAAACATGCACAATACTATATCGCTGTGGTGTGATTCTTTAATTATTTTGGGAAGATACTCACCAGAGGACTAGCTGGGTCAAATAGGACCTCTAATCCTAGTGGTTTGAGGTATCTTCACATTGATTTCCACAGTGGTTGCACCAGTATGCACTCCCACCAACAGTGAAGAAGGGTTCCTGTCTCCCTACAACCCTGCCAATATTTTTTTTTTCCTACCTAGGATCAAACTTGGGACCCCGCACTTGCTAAATCCCTGGCAGTTGATTTCTTCATAGCAGCCATTCTTTCTGAGGTGAGATGAAATCTCAGTGTTGTTTTCATCTGCATCTCTTGAATGACCAGTGATGCTGAATATTTTTTCATATGTTTATTTGCTGCTTTTACTTTTTTTTCTGAGAAATGTCTGTTAATTTCAGATACCTATTTTTGACTTAGGTCTTTATATTTTGGGGTCTGATTTTTTAAAGTTTTTTGTATATTCTAGATAGTAGACCTTTGTCTGAGGAATAGCTGGTAATTTTTTTTTTTCTCACATTGTGGTTTGTCTCTTAGCTCTGCTTATGAGTTCTCTGGCAGTGAAGAAACTTTTTAAAAAGATGAGATTCTAATTGTTAATTTTTTGTGCTAGTCCCCATGCTATTTGAGGATTTGTTATAGCATATTGTTGGATTTTGCTTCCTTATCCACTCTGCCAGTCTATTTCTTTTGATTGATGAATTGAGGACATTGGCATTGATAGTTATAACTGATATGTATTTACTTATCATTATCATGTTACTTTCCTGTTGTTGGTTCTTTTTTATTTTTCTCCCTCTGCCTTTAAATTTCTGCCTATTGGATTTGCTCTGCTGGGCCTCATGGAGTTGTGACCTTAATTGGATATTAAAAAATTTTGTTTGGAGTTCTGGTTTGTTATTCATGAAGTTTCTCAGGTGTTCTTTGTCATGAAATTATCTTATTTCTCCATCAATTTTGAAAGATAATTTTGCAGGATACATCAGCCTAGGTTGGAGGCTGTTTTCTTTTAAAGCTTGACATACCTCACTCCAGGCTGTCCTTGACCTGAGGGTTTGGTTGAAAAATCTGTTGTGATTCAAATGGGCTTTCCTTTGCATGTAATTTGTTTCTTTTCTGTAACTGCTTGTAATATTTTGTACTTCTGCTGGGTTTCTGGGATCTTGATATTACACGTCTAGGCATTTTTTTTAATCATAACTATTTGAAGTTCTATATGCCTCACTTATCTGTATGTTAAGTTCTTTTGCTCTGTTTGGGAAGTTTTCTATTACTTCTGTGAACATGTTTTTTTGTCATTTGTGTCTTCTCCTGCTATTTCTTTGGACTCCTATTAATCTTATATTCTTCTTTGCATCAACTAGGAGCTGATGGATTGATTTCTCATGGTCCCTTACTATTTTTAAGAGATCTTGCTTTTCATGGTCACTGACCACCACCCTGTCTTCTCTATCTGATATTCTGTCTTCAGATTGGGTTTGTCTGCTATGTATACTTTCAATACAGTTTTTAATCTCCTGGATATCAATTTGAATCTGTTTCATGGATTCCATTTCTTTCTTACATTAGGCCTTCATAGTTTCCATTTATTTCCTATGCATATATATATATATATATATATGAAATGTTTCTCTTCTAAAGGCTATGATCATGTATTTAATCTTGAAAATTATTTCTGTTTTGAATATTTCTAGAGCCTCATTCACCTGTTTTTTTTTACTTCCTGTGCTATTAGTTCAGATTGTCCAAGTGATTATCAGATATGTTTATAAATTGAGAAATTAAAACTTGTAGAATTTCCTCAGTCTGACATAGTGTTCCAGTGTTCTCTCCACCATAATAATAATAATAATTATTATTATTACTATTATTATCAATTTTTTTGGTACCAGGGATTGAACTTGGGTCCTTGCGCTTGCAAGGCAGGCCACCGAACTGCTGAGCTAAATCCCTGGCCCCACCATAATAATTATATATGTCCTATTGATGCTTTTGTTAGTTGCTCAAAATTATAAAATGCAATATAGTTCAGGAACAGACATGACACAGGTTAAGTAGATCACTGAAGTGAGTGAACTTGGTCTGTGATGTGAAGTTTTACTTTATAATAGCTAAATTAATCCAGACTTTCAAAATGTAAATCCTAAAAAGGTCCTTAATTATATGAATTTGAGATTTAATAAACAATAATAAGATAGAAGAGGAAGAAGTGAGAGGCTTTTCAATAAATGGTACTAAGTATTTAGATTTCAATATAAAAGGACAGGGGTATTTGATCACTACTTTAAACCATACAAAAGAATATATTCTAGTTTAATTATAGATCTAGAAATGAAATGACAAGAGATAAAAGCTAGAAAAAATATTATAGATGTTATATTTGTGTTCTCAAGGTAGGAAAAGATTCCTTAAATGAGAAAAAAATTAAACATAAAGACATAAGTAAATACAGTATTAGCCAGAATGAAATTAAGAATTTCTCTTTACCATCAGAGAAGGAAAAAAAATAGAGAAAATATATTTCCAACACATATAAGAAAAATACTAAATACTGTGTGTTTATTTTACAACCCACCCAGGAAAAAAAAAAAAGATCATGTAATTTGAATAAATGTTTCACAAAAATGTAATTAGTCAATACAAATGTTAAAAATTTAAGCTTCTAATTAGGAGCAAAACAAATTAAATTCACCAAAATATCACCTTATACTTTGTGCTAGAATAAAAAAACTTAAAAATTCAAATGTACCAAAAATTTAGAAATATTCAATATAATAAATTGCAAATATAACTTTGACAATTTTCTTATAAGTATCAACCAAAGCTAAACATAAGAATAGTATTAGCTAGCAATTCACAATTAGAATTAGAAAGCCACACAAAATATAAATTAACAAATATAAAAAATGTAAATAATAAGGTGCCGGGGATTTAGCTCATTGGTCCCACTGCCTGCCTCATAAGCAGAAGGTCCTGAGTTCAATCCCTGATACACACACACACACACACACACACACACACAAAATGTGTACAATAATATTCCCTGTAGTGTAATTTATGAGAACCTCAAATTGGAGACAGCTCACTGTTAAGTGCTAATTATACTCAACTTTTTTCTATAAAAGTAGTCTTTAAAAATGTACAAATAAACAATTGTGATTGTATTCTACCAAAACAGTTAGAAAGCAAAAATAGACCAAAATTGTCCCAAAGTCAATGGTTTGGTGATCTCTGGTATAAAGCCAAAAATACACAGAGTAAAGCTAAGCACAGCACTAATGCGTCTCTCAAATATAATGCTCAACAGAGGACGTCACACATTAAAAATAAATTGTAATGTTAACAAACAAAACCAAGGGTCCTTGGCAAAAGGACTGATTCTCAATTTAATTGAGGAAAAGTACTCAATAAGCTTGGGGCTTCTTAGAGTGCCAGCAATTATGAAAATGCTCAAAATACAAAACAATGGAGATGGCTGACAAAAGAGCCCAGAAGTTGTCATGGTTTAGATCTGAAATGTCCCCCAAAAGTCTCATATGTCTTGAAAATGATTGAATCAGAGGGTGCTACCTTCATCAGAGAATTCATCCATGTATGAGTTCAGGGGCTGACTGTGCTATTAGAACGTGGGACCTAGCTGGAGCTACATTGCTGTTTTGTAACCTGGAAATGTGTACTCTTGTCCCCAACTCCTCCATTTTTTTCTGCTTTCTGTCTGCCAAAGATTGAGTAGCTTTTCTGTGCTTTGGCCCATGGCCATGCCTTTTCTGTCTGGCAACCAACCAAACATGAACTGACATACATGAAACATGAGACAAAATAAACTCCCTCTCCTTTCAATTTTAGGTGCTGGGTATTTTGTCCCACTGAGAGGAAAGTGACTAATACAGAAGTCAAATGTAAGAGCCCCAAGTGACCAAAGTTTAAGCCTGGAAAAGTTTAAGCAACAAAATAAATAACATAGTATTGTATTATAACTCAAAACATAAAATAATTCATGAGTCCACAGTGACCTAAAGAAACATATAATAAATAAAAAATGAAAGATAAGAACAAAATGCTCCATGCAGATAAATTGCAAATAATTTATATTGATACTGTGGCATCCAGGAGCTGCAGTATAGCTATATTGCTACCCCTTAAATGTAGACTGCACATACAAATTCATGCAAAATGTACATTATGGAAATGGGATGGATAAACAAAACTAACTTCACAGAGGAAAATCTTGTTAAAAATCACAAGAGCCATATGACCAAGACTAAAATCATCAGTGATTAGAGATACTGAAAATAAATATCCTTGAAATGATGGGATGTTAATGGCATTTTCTGTCTGTTTTTCTTTTCAAAAACCTGTTATCAAAATATAATCATGAGAAATAAAAACATCTAATGGACAAACTGGGGGACATTCTATAACCCACACAGCAGTCCTTCTAAAATCAGCCAAGACTGAGGAAAATGAGGAAAGTTTGAGAAAGGGTTATAATCTTAAGTAGATGCGATTATTTAATACACTGTGTACCCCACGTAGCATATGATGTCCACAGTGAAGAATACACAAAGATACATTATAACTATTGCAGTAACAGGGTGTGCACCAGACTAAGCTATGGCCTGTTTAAGAAGATTAAGGCAAGAGGAAACATTTAAAAGGAAAACCAGCATAATTTATATAAGCTACTTAGATATGAAATTCATTGATCACGAAGACCGGAGTCAGGAGTTAGCTCCTGGTGGAAGTACAGCTGGTGAGCAAGAACTCTGTCCAGATCTTGCATTGAATCACATCAGTCTTAAAGAAAGTAAAAGATAAACTATATCACAGAGAGCTGTGCATACCTGTGAGGTATACAAAATAAACCTTTATGGGACCCGCAGAGAGTGCTTCAGAAAGGACTTAGGCAGGAATGAGCTCCCCTTCCCCGTAATTTTCTCTGTTAATTTTTCTGAGTGTGAAAAAAATGATTTCATTTTAGTATCATCTAAATTCAGACATGTTATAGAAAAGGAGAACATTAGATAAAAACCAAAGAAGTACAAAGTATGAACTTTAGTTAATAATCATATATTAATATCCATTCATTAGCTGATATATATACCTTGTTTTATACAATTTAAGATAAAAAACATGGAAAGATGATGTAGGGCATATAGAAACTACATTATTTTTTCACTAAATTCCAAATCATCTTACTAAAGTTTACTAGAATGTAAAATACATGATTCTATTTATATAAGGTTCAAAAGTAGTCAAAAATCAAACTATAGCTTTTAGATGTTACTTGCTTGAATGGTAACACAGAAAAGACAGATGAAAGTGACTTTTCTGGAATCAGGTTATCAATTATGTTGTGCAAATGAAAAGAGAGCAGTTGGAAGATGGAAAAAATGGGCTATGAATGGTAGTAATCTTCTGTCCTTTGGGTGGTGGTAACAAAATGTTTGCTTGTAAATTACTCAGCTGTTCAGCTATATATTTTTGTATAATTGTGAACCTATCTTTTAAAGGTAGGCTGCACATAATGACTTCTTTGAAAAATACATTATATAAACTCCATCCTTAACAACAACAACAAAAAAGACTAACTTTACTCACTTAAAAAGGATCACTTAGTCCAGGTGACCAAGTCAAGCGTGCTTGAAAGCGTATGCTTCTGTATCCACATTAGCCAAGCGGCACTTTGCCACGGTGGGTCTCAACTCCAGAATCTATAGCAAATCCCGTAATTCCTGTGTAGTCATGAGAAAGACATCTAATAAGCCAAGCCTGAGGGACATTTTCAAAATACATGATCAGTACTTCAGTGCTAAAGATATGCGTGTATGTATCTGTCTATTCACCCATCTACAAAGAAAAGTACCATCTCACAGGAGTGAGAGAATTCTAGCAGGAACTGTCTAGGAACATACCATGAGAAAGCTTAATTTATGTAGGGATTGCATCCCAAAGAGCAGGTAACTCTGCAGGGAAGATTGCTTGCAGGAGTCGCCCAAAGTAATTCTGTCTTCTGACTCATGAGAACTAAAGGGATTGCCATAGAAAGGGTGTTGAATACAACTATAAAAAATATCATCTACGGAAATTCCTTTTACTCCCATTTCTTCCTCATCAGATTTTATCTGAAGGGAGATTATTTCAATTGGATGTAAGATGGGTGTTTTAAAATTTGATCATACTAAACTTATTAACTAATATTGGCAAAATTTTGAGAAAATTCAAATGCATGTTTAATTAACAATATTTGCTTATGCTGTTGAAATTCATTCCACTTAAATTTCATTGCAACTTATATCTTTAACATTTATTTTGGCTTAAAGCATGAAAATATTCACAAATATATCCATTTTTAGACATAGATCCTACTGATGAAATTTCTGATTTCTGTCTTGTAGAAACCACACCCACAGCAATATTCTATTATATTTTAGCTATATCTGGCTTATTTGAAATCTGAACAAAGATTTAGTTCTAATGATTTAGTTCTATTTTAATAACTTAGTCCTAAACCTTCATTGATATTTATAAATTCTATTTCTCCTAGATATTTTGTTTTACAGTTCATATGTCATGGGATGAGTTGTTTTTAGAAACTCACATCAAAAATTTCCAAAACATTCAAATTAATTTTCATAAAATGATACTCATTGTATTCATATTCTTATGTTCTTATAATGTGTACTTGAATCTCAAATGCATTTGCTAGAAAATACCAGAGCTACTTTTAGGCTTTCAATTAATTATAATAGAAAAAAATATTCTAAACATCTTCTAGCACATTTATGGGAGTAAAACAATACTAAACAAACATAAGCAAAATTAGCACATCATTTAAGGGGCAACCATGTAAAAAGAATTTTCTTCCAGAAGTTTAATTTACCCAGGGGCTGCCCGGAGGAGATTTCATGGATACAGTTTGACTTTTATCTCTGCAAAATTGAACAGAGGTCTTTAAACGGTACAGGGTGTGATCAAAAAACAAAGTGAAAGTTTAAAATCATAGAAATTGCAACATAATAGACACAGTGTGAATCCCTCTCAAAATATATACCACTCACTTTACACACCTCCCATCCCTCTTGCCACTTTCTGAAGTAGCTCTGTAAGTCCTCACTCTGGAGTTCTGTTGCCATGGCTGCTTCAGTGTCCTTAAGTAAGTACCTTTCGAATGGCAACAATTACCTTTCACGGTCATATTGATTTTAGGGAAGGACTAGAAGATGCAGGGTGTCAGATCTGTTGAGTCAGATGGATGAGGACACACAGTGATGTTTTTGTGATTCTGCCTCTTTATTGGATGACAGTTTTTTGGATGGTTCATAACTCATAAAAACACAAAAGAGGACTTCCAGAACTACTTCAAGTAGTGGCAAGTGTTGGGATAAGTCTTTTCAAACTGAGATAGAGTACGTTGCTGGCAATTAGTGGTAATGTGTCTTTTACTGTAATCATTTTAAGTTAATCACTCAGTGTATATTTTGATTACAACTACTTTTATAAATGTGAGTGATGCCAACACAAAGATATATTAAGCTCTGAGAGTGAATGAGATTATCCAGAAACTGAAACTAAAGAATGAAATGAAGAAAGACTGAAAGCTCAGAGGACCCACAAACATTATTCGAACAAGAGGGTGAAGAGTTGGAAAAGCAGAGAAAGAAAAATAATCAAGCTAGAAATAAACTCAGGACATTTTGGTACTGTATCAGCTAAACCCATATAATTTATTTTGAGAAGAAGGCAAATGTCAACTGTGAGGCCTGTTGCTCAGAGTTGTGATAGGATGAAAAGTGAAAAGTGACTGATATATTCAATACTTTGGACCAGAGCATGTTCAATGCCCTTGTAAGGATGTGACCCAGATGTTCGAATGTTTGGAAAGATGATGAGAAAGAATAATCTATATATACGAGCAATTTTGGCGGGGGGGATTAGAAAGTATCTAAAAGGGTAGGAGATAATGAGAAATATGTATTTAAATACTTATATAATTTTAAGATAATGACATAATACAAAGAGCCAAGTTGAAAATACCCTATAGAATGCCAATAATCCAAGAAAAAGTGACCCATACAAAGCATAAATGAGAGTCAGAGAAACTTCTACTTAACTAGTTGGAGGAAAGCTCTAGAAGGTCTTAATTAATGGTTTCTATGTTCCCTATTAAAGAGGAAAAAAATGCCTTGGTAGGAAGGTGAAAGAACATGTGAGAAGTCTGGTCATAGGTGGGAAAAGGAACAAGTTATATTAGGATGAAAGTAAGCTCCTGGAGAGGCACTCATGAGTATAATGTTTCACACTTGTTTTGGGCTTGGTGTCACATATTTAAACAGATTTATCCCATGTCTTACATAAGTTTATTCTGTAAAGTTTAACAGTTCACCTTCAAGCAGAGAGAAAGCCTGTACTTGGTTCCAAATAGATGATGGTTTCATACCCGATGGAAATTTGTGGAAAATTTTAAGGGAGACTTTCGTGATGATGGAAGAAAAGCAGAGAACTGTATTGCCAGAGTGGAAGGATAGGCAGATTTACTGGATTAGGATTTAATATTACATGTCTAAAGAAAATACTTCCAGGCAGTCTTCTTACTATCCCATGCATGAACACACAGGTTTACTGAATTGATGTATTCAGGACATTATGGAGGAAAGTAATTGCCATTTAATTATCTTTCTTCCCTCCTATTTAGATGAGTGCCAAAAAAAAAACAATTTAAATAATTATTTGAACAGATGTATCCATATAACTACACTGTAAAATATCATCCTTTACAATGGGAATGTGAATTCACAGAACATGTCCAATGCTGCCTGAAGTTCAACAACTAGAACATGAATGGGTGTAGGGTGCTTAAGATTGAAACCAGAAATTGTTCAGGAAATTTTTCATAGAAAAAGTTGGATCAAAAAAATATAATAAAAGTTGTCATCAAGCACTTGGAAATATAAATGTTGCTGTCATGAGACTAGTTTTAAAGATTTGTTCTTTGTTAATAGATCCATATTTAAAAAGTCATAATATTGCTAAAATAATGCTTGATTTGAAGCAGCCCTTCTTAATTTGTTCATATTCTCTCAGCTTGGAGCATTGATCGTGGTCTAATTGAGCTCCTTTTGCTTCCAATTGTGTGTTCCCATTCATTTTTTTTCCACAGGCAGCTTTCAGCCACATGCATAATTGTATCTAATTTCATGAGTCTCAAATTCAGATTGTGATGACTACATGAGATTCTTTGTTTTTCTGCTTGCTGAGTATTTCCCACCAAACAAATTTTCTAAGAATAATTAGTTTTTAAGATATTATTTTATATACTGGAGCTCAATAAATGGTCAGGTCCAACTAAAATATTATTTTAGACCTAGGGAAAGCATTCATCACAGAATCTGCTTTCATGTAGGAAGACATCTTAACACTTCTAGTATTATTAATTACGATGATATTAGACATGAAGTATGTAGAGGAGACATGTGAAGGACAATTTTTAAGTCTCCTGACTTAAGCCTGTAGCTGGTTCTGTCTTCATAAAGCCAACCACATGACTTATATTTAGAGTAGAAATATCCAGGCATGTGGATTTGGAACATATGTCATCCTGTAAAATCACTGTCAAAATGCACGATGAGAATTATAAGAAAAACGCACCCAAATAATTTCAAAAAGAAACAGTTATCTCTCCCCAGATCCTAAGCAGTCACTGTCGAGCTTCCTGGCAACATCAAGCAGCAGGAGCCAGCTAATGAGGCAAGTCATCCGTTATCATTGCAGAGCTTAGCCTGATTTAGTTATCTGAATCAAAATGACAGATTCAGGAGGAAGGCTCCTGGGAACTTGACTGAAAATGTTATGTTGATGTAACCATGCATTGATCAGTCTAGTGGAGTGGTGCTTAGTTTCCATGCCAACAATAAAAAGAAACCAAAAAATACTGGGTTAAAGGGCACGCTTAGGAAAACGGATATTGGGCAAGATATTTTCTTTATAAACAGCTGAGTTAAACATTGAAATAAGCTCCATGCCCTGACCAACTCAGGGCTTTTCAACACATAAGAGGTTTTATAAAGTAATTTCAGCTTGTCAGGAACAATTTTCCTCTTTCCCTTTAGGATTACTTATAACTTTCGCTTTTGCAACTATAACCCATGTTATTGGCAGCCTATTAACTTTATTCCAGGATGGAAACCGAAGGAATTAACTCTTTCAGTCCTCTCCTAATCCTCTACTGTTCCCCAAAGCCAGTAATAGACAGGAGCTTTTAAAGTGCACTTGACATGCTAGGCATGAATTTAAGAGGCTTGATAAAAGAGGTATTATAAAGAGGAAAAGAAAGAATCCAAATTACCTGAGGGGAATATATGCTGTTGACAAATAGCTCTGTCTGTTGGCCCTGAGTTTGAGAAAGATTTTTGATCAGTGGGCTAGACAGACTTTTCTTGTTATGAGAAAACTATCAGCATTCAGAAAATAGCATTGAAGGCACACTAAAAGCTACATATGATGAAGAAAGACTATTCGTCTAAAGATACAAGGGCTCAGTGCACAAACCTTATTCCATCAATGATGACATAACTGAAGATGGTTTATAAAAGAAAGGGTTTATTGTTGTTTGTTTTGGATTTATGTGCAAGTTTTTTTTATGACAGAGCCTGAGAAGAATGAAGAATAGAGAAACCTACATGCATTTTTCCATTTGATGTGTCTGGTTCATTTTATGCTAAACAGTGAAAATGTA